TCCTTGAGTCCCCCACATGCCGTTATAGCGGAGCCAGAGAGGGATCCGAGCTCAGGCAAAATGTGTGAAACCAGCATCAGGCAGCTTGAAGCGAGGCTGAGCAAAGAAATCGACAATCAATCCCCAAGGGAGCTACAGGCCGGGGCGGGGAAACGTCACTGCGAGCCAGCTGCTCCTTCCCCTCGGCCATTTACCGGGCGCTTTGATTGCAAGCATCTTTAGGCATCTCCAATTCCCCAGGTCCATACCAGGCTGGGGCAGGGCGCTGGCTAATCCCTTGTTAATTACAGTTCATTAACAGGGTGGGGAGGAGGCTTTTCCCAGCCTTGCAAAGCAGCACCAGGCTGACCATTCTGAACCCTCGACCGCCTGGAGTCAAACATTTACTTGCTGCATGCCTGCTCTGATAAGCTGCCCCAGGGATTAACCTTTGGAGAGCCAAGGCTGCCCCTAAAGGAGGCTGGGGGCTGGTGGCACGCCACCTTCACAGCCAAACTGGATTCCCCCCCGCGATGTAACGCCACAAGGTTTCGAAATATCCCAGTCCTTCTCAGACACAATTCAGCACTTCTACTCCACCAAGCAACACCTGCCCCATGGGCTCTTCCCTCCCTTCTCCCCCCCAGCAGGCCCAGCACAGATGTGATGGGCAGGTCATGGAGGGAGAAGGCCGTCTCTTCCTGCACAGCTTAGCCAGAGGTTTCTCCAGGGCAGTCCCATTGCAAGAGGCATGGCTGTAGTTTTGCAACTTGTTCAGAGCTGTAGACTGCAAGCCACCCCTTCCCTTTTAAAAGTGGATTTCCCCTGCTTCAAAGCATCACCATCCACGACTCCCCACCCTTGAAGCGGCATGGGGCAGGACCAGCAATGTAAAGGCACTTTCATCACAGTCACCACGTGCACACTCTGGAGTCACACTGGGATAGCTCTTTGGGGAAAAGAAACCCATGCCCCTAACAGAAGTAGCTGCAGAACGTGTGTCTAAACCAGCCTGCCTAAAGCCAGGGTCACAACTTGCGGTTCCTGGCTCCCAGGGTGTGCTGGGACTGTCCCCACCCGAAAGCACAGTGCAGGACGAGGACAGAGGCACGCGGATTGGTCCTTATGCCGCTTTGGGGTCCAGTCAGAGGGCAGACCGAAATCCCCTCAGCTCACCCAGTAAGCCAACATCGGTGCAAACAAGACTTCCCTGACTGTCCCCAGGACGTGTGGAGAACGCCAGGAGGAGGAAACGTCACTGCTCTTACACACGAGCCGATTGCTCGGAGCAAGCAGAATTTTTCTGGGTTGATTTTAGGCACACATCAGCTCAAAAAAGAAAGAGCAGTAACTGCCCAGTCTGCTTAGGTTTAAGTAGCCATTCTCCAGGTACTTAATGATACTTTCTCTTCCCCCTCCCCTTCCCCTCTATTTATTTCGAGTTTTCATATCCCCTACTCATAACTCCGGTCATCCGAAGACATGGGCTGTGCCCACAAAAGCTCATGATCCCATCTACATGTTGTGTTAGTCTAAAGTGCTACCAGACCATTGACTGGTTTTTTAAGTCCCTTTAAACCCAAGATGCCAAGGCCTGGTCTATGCGGTTGGGTACTGGGCGGCCATTTCTGTTGGGGCGTGATCCTTTTTTAACCCTGCATAGCTCTCCGCGCACAACTCCATCACGTGGATACCAGCAGAAGTGCTATTCCCATTTTCACAAAGGCAGGGAAGTATCCAGCCCACAGGACTTGCCTCTGCACCCTTCAATCGTACCGGTACAGATTAAGTGAGGCAACTTTCAAGTGTAGACACGTCCGAGGAGCGGGACACTTCGTAAGCCGAGGAAGGAACGAGTTTATCCTACTGTGCTCTCCAGGGCTGGATTAAGAAAGGGGCTTTCAGGGCCACCGCCCAGGGGGAAGGGGGACCCCACAGAAAGACCTCCCGGCCTCCAACAGTGCATATCTTTCTGTGGGGCCCCGGGCTACAGGCACTGAAGCCCCTGCGTGTTATCTGGCCCTGCCTGGCAGAGGGGAGATAAGAGGACTCCAGTCTTCCCATCTCCTCTTGTCCGGGTGGGTTTATCTAGCAGGCGAGGCGACCGGCCATGGCCACACAACAGCACTGAAGTGCTACAAGTCTTCAGTGTAGACAAAGCCCAACACTAAAGGCAGGAGGGCTTTGCCCTCCCACCAACCTGCTTGGTGGGCAAAGCCCTTCCATTAGGTCAGCTTGCCTCCCCAAGAACCTTCCCAGGCTGATGAGAAACGAGTCGCGCTCCCGCGGCACCGGAGAGTCCCGTTCACTTGACCCATTTCTGAACGGGTTACTGGGCCACGGCCAGATCAAAACCCAACTGCTTGACCCCCAGCCTGCAACCAAGGAGAGGGCCAACGCGGAGAGCTCAGAGCCCTCCCACACCTCCTCTCGGAGGCCCAAGTCCGTCTGATTTCCAGCTGCAAAAATGCAACTCTGCAGCAAGCTTTCGGTGCGCACCCAGGGCCAGGCTGGGGGAGGAGGAATCGACGCACAGAGTGAGCTGTAAGCGTGTTTGCAGCTCACACGGCCATCCCAGAGCAGCGCTGCACAAGCAGCGCCTGAATGTGCGGTCGCA